TACCCCTTGATTATTATTTATTTTTCTAAGATAATTTATTATAATATATTTAAAACATGATCTTCAAAAATATGATATTTTCTTCACCTTTTCACCTATTAGCCATTTTACATCATAACACCATATGGCTGAAATCTTGTATAACTCCTAATAAAGATCTTATTCTCTCTTGAAATCCTTCACCAAGTTTTACAATAGAAGTTTATTTAAGACCAAAAAATCATGAAATCTTAGCTTTGTTAGATTTAAGAGCCTGAGCACGTTTTATATATAGAGATTTTTTCAAAAAATAAGATATATTGTTAGTTAAAAAAAACTAAACCTATACATGTAAAAGTGATAAAAGATCATTCACTATCTTATAGAGATGTTACACATGAGATTGTTTTTTTAGATGTAGAAATTAAGGATCATAATAGCATAATAATATTTAATATAATAAGATTTTTTTCTAATCTCATTATTTTAAGATTATCTTAATTAGAAAAGTATAATCTTCAAATAGATTGGATTTCTTGTAACCTTAATTTTGTTAACAATTCAATCCAAAATCCTATTAGTCAAGTAGAAATACATGAATCTAGTACATCCAAATCTTTACTAGTAGGTATAAGAGCTTTAATGCATGCCACAAAAAAGGGTTATCTTTTGCTTTATATGCCATGTCTATTTCTGATAGTGAAAAGATGTCAAGTAATCTTTTTAGTTAGTATCAAGATTTCCAAGACATTTTTGAAAAGAAAAATGTAGATATTCTTTGAGAGCATTGTCCTTATGATTGTTCTATTGATCTTCACGAAGGAGCTCAATCACTATTTGGACCAATCTATAGCCTATTACAAAATAAATTGGCTGTACTCAAGGTGTATATTGATGAGAACTTAACTAAGAATTTCATATATTATTCTAAAACTCCAACTAAGGCTCTTATCTTATTTGTGAAGAAAAAAGACAAATCTTTGTGGATGTGTATGGACTATCAAGGGCTCAACAAGATCGCCATCAAAAATAAGTATCTTCTACTTTTAATTTTAAAAAATTTTGATAAATTCAATCAAGAAAAGATCTATATAAAAATAGATCTATAAAGAACATATAATCTAATATGCATTAAAAAAAAGAGATGAATAAAAAACTATATTTTGAATAAAGTATGGACATTTTGAATATAATGTCATGCCTTTTGAACTTACAAATGCACAAGCTGCTTTTTAATATCAATTAAATGATGTATTTTGAGAGTTTCTTAATGATTTTTTTGTCTGTTATTTGGATGACATCTTAATCTATTGTAAAAATATAGAAGAGTATGAAAAAAAACTTAGATTCATGGTGACACCAAAATAGGTTGAAATATCTTATTCATTTGTATGAATATGATATTAATGAACATACATGGGAGCCAATAAAAAAATCTTGCAAATACAATAAAGAAAGTTGAAGCTTTTCATCAACAACATCCATCAAAATCAAGATGAAAAATAGCAAATCTTTGCTATGAAAGAAATAAGATCAAAAGAATATACCAATTTATCTTTTGTTCTTCTTTGTAGCTTCTATATAATTAAGGAGATAGAGAACCAACAACCAATAGATTCAACTCAAGATCTTTCATTTGTAGATTTACTAGATGAGACATTATCACTATCACAACTTTCAAGATGACAAAATCAAGATGAAGATCCTTAAGAACATGTCCTTCCTCGAATAAATGGCAAGATACAACATGATTGATATCACGACCTTGAAAGAGAGTCCCAATGTTTGATAATTTTATTAAAGGTAGAAATAACTTCTGGCGATATTTTAAATGTTTTATTTGAAAGAAGTTACGAAGGCCTCAACAATGATGAAATAATATGGTGGTCTTATTACATTGATATGAGAGACTATTGATGGCTCAGAGGGCCTATCAACCATCTTCAAAGAGAACAAAGATTGAAATATGTGGCAAATATAATTTGCCATATCTTAAATTTTTTCAATATATGAAGATTGTTCTTCATAAACTTATCCTTAAAAAGGAAGTAATATCATGGACATACATAAGTATTCTAGTAAATACCTATATGATTAAGTAAAAGTAGATAAAAGTAAATAAAAGAAGGGTTAATTTCATAAGACCTTTTAGAAAAGCTTCTTAGAAGCTTCATAGATGCTGCTTGATTTTACATGTATTTATAATTGATTGATAGGTTAAAAACTTGATCAACAAATTATCCACGAGTTCATAGCTTGGAAAATAAGCTAATTATATGGCACATATATAAAAAAACTTGCCTTAAAAATTAAGATTCATGTCTTACAAAGTCAACATATTTTGGAGGTCTTATAGGACATTACCACGTAGCTTCTAATTAAGAGTATATATAGAGGTAAGAGTAAAGCCTTCTATATTTTTTTCAATATCTTTTTAGATTTTAGTCTTCTTTGAAGAATTTTTAGTCTTCTTATTTTTGGCAATAGCCATTTTAATTCAATATTATATCATCTTTGAGTGACTTTCTAGTTTTTTTTAATGATACAAAAATGTATTGAGGATTTTCTATCTTTGAGATTTCTATCCTTGACACATAGATGCTGCTTTGATTTTACATGTGTTTATAATTAGTTAACATGTTAGAAATTTGATCAACAAGTTAACCATATGTTGATAGCTTGTGGAATAAGCTTATTATGTGGCACACATGTAAAAAACTTGCTTTGGAAGTTAAGATACGTCTCTTACAAAGTCAACACATTTTAGAGGTCCTACAGGACATTGCCATGTAACTCTTAGTTAAAAGTATATATATAAGAAAGAGTGAAGCCTTCTTTATTCTTATCAATGTCTTTCTAGTTCTTAGTCTTTTTTTAAGACTTTTTAATTTTCTTATTTTTTGGCAATAGCCATTTTAATTCAATATTATATCTTTGAATGACTTTCTAGTTCTTTTCAAGGTTACAAAAATATATTGAAGATTTTCTTTTTTTAAGATCTATGTCCTTGATATAAAGTTGTTTTATCTTTTAAAAATATAAAAACTTCTTAAGAAGCTTCTTAATACCTAATATATATTGGGATCAAGGCTAACAAGATCCTTAATCTTGACAACACATCTTTAAAAACTTTAGTTTAATTTTCTTGGTATTGATCTTATATTCATCTACTTTAATCAAGTTTCTCTTAGCTTTTTTATTGAAGCTTTTTTATTCAACTTCTTATTTAGACTCTTGTATAGTATATTTATGATAATGGTAATCGAACTTATCAGAAGAGAGAAGAGTTTTAATATTATAATGAAGTAACCATGCTTTACAACTAACGTGGAATTGAGATTATTTCTTGCGATAGGTATCCACTATTTTGTGGTAATACAACTAAATGATAAAAACTAAAAATATGGATATGATTATAAAAAAATCTAGTAGAAATATATAGTAAAATAAATAAATAAATAAATAAATAATAAGAAGGTAATAAAAGTTTTAATCTTAATGCTATATTTTTATAAAAAAGACTTTTAATTATTTTATAGAAGTATAAATGAACCAAATCTAAGTAGATAAAATAATCAATTAATATAGGCATTTTTAAGAAAAAATTAAAAATAGGTTTAAACAAAATTTATCTCAAATTATTAAAAATTGATATTCGAAGAGAATTGATTATGAACTAAAGTCGAAATTAGACGTCAAGATACAAAACCATGCACCTATTGTGACTCCAAGATTCTTTGATTAATTAGAAAGTGAAATTTGAGAATTTTAGAATTTGAGATTTTGAGAATTTTTGCAATGAGTCAAGTTCTATCTAAGATTGCATTCTTTCCAATATCTTGAAAGGTTTACTCAAGTTGGATTCACAAATACACTTTTATTTGGAAGTGTTCTCTCTTAGTTTGCACCATTAATGGAAAAAGATTCATAACTATTTTATGATTTGAATTCATTTATAGAAGTATTTATGGCCATGTTTAAAAAATATGATCAAAAAAAGATAGTAGAGACGAAGCTCTTATTTTTACAATAAAGATCACAATTAATATATGCTATTGAATTCCAAAATCTCATTAGCAACATGGACTAGAATGATAAAGCTCTTATCAATCAAAGATTTATTATTGATAATACAAAAAATAGATTGTTTAGAAAATTTTATTTCTTAAGCCATTGCATGTAATACTTAATTATTTAAAAAGCATCAAAAATAAAGATTTGTTAAAAAAAAAAATTAAGTAATAATAGCAGCTTCTAAGTTTTTAATTACTTATTTGCTAAGGTGAAAATCAATACAAATTGTTACGACATATTTTAAACCTTTCATTGAGCAAAAAATGACTCAACATTATTAAGAAGATTTGTGCTTATATTATAGAAAATCTAAGAATATTGCTCAATATTATCCAAAAAAAACAATGTAATTACAAATAAAGAGTATGATTGCCAAAGAAGATAATATATTAAAAATCAAGTTTTTTCACCTACAATAGGAACTGTGCAAATAAAATCATATATAATTTCTAATAAAGATCTTATTTTCTCTTCAGATCCTTCACATTGTTTTATAATAGATGTATGTTTAGGACCTAAAAATCACAAAGTTTTTATCTTATTAGATTCAAGAGCTTCAGCTTGTTTTATAGACAAAGATTTTGTTAAAAACCAAAAAATATCTTTAATTAAATAAACTAAATCTGTACATATAGAAGTCATAAATAATTGTTTGTTGTCTTATAAAGATGTTATATATAAAATTATTCTTTTAGATGTAACAATTTAAGATCATATGAATATAATAATATTTAATATCATAAGATCTTTTTTCAATCCAATTATTTTACAATTATTGTAGTTAAAAAAGTATAATTCTCAAATAAATTGGATTTCAAATAACATTGATTTTTTTTTATAATTATTAAAAAAAAAGTAATATTATGGATATACATATTTACTCCAATAATTACTTAGATAATATGAGTTAGTAGAAATAAGTAAAATTAGATAAATTTGATAATATCTTGTGGAAGAGTTTTTTTTTGAAGCTATATAGACATAGAGTTGCTTTTATATGTGTCTATAGGTGACTGATAGGTTAAAAATTTGGCCAATATATTAATCACATGTCACACATATTGACTACTTGTGGTACAAATTGAACATATAGTGCACATAGAAAAAACTTCCTTTGTAAATTGAACATTAATCTTATAAGTTAGACATGTTTTAGACATGTTAAATATAAATATATAATTATAATAATATAAGCTTGATCAATCACTTAAATTAAAGATAGTGAAAGATATGAGGTTGCTCAATTTATTAGGCAATGATGTTAAGCTTGAATAGTATGATATGTCTAGGGTAGTCAAAGATATAAGGTTGCCCAATTTTTTTGGCAATAATGTAAAGCTTGAGCAGTATGATATATCTAAGATAGTCAAAGATGTGAAGTTACTCAATTCATTTGATAATAATATTAAGTTTGAGTAATCACATATATAAAAGGAAGTCAAAGATGTGAGGTTGTCTAATTCATTTGGCAATGATGTCAAGCTTGAACAATCAATTATATACAAGGCAGTTAAAGATGTGAGGTTATCCAATTCATTTGGCAATGATATCAAGCTTGAGCAATTACTTATGTCTAATGTAGTCAAAGATGTGAGGTTGCCCAATTCATTTGGTAATAATGTTAAGTTTGAGCAATTACTTATATATAAGGTAGTCAAAGATGTGAGGTTGCCTAATTCATTTGGCAAAGATGTTAAGCTTGAGCAATTAGTTATATACAAAGTAGTCAAAGATGTGAGGTTGCCTAATTCGTTTGATAATGATGTTATACTTGACCAATTAGTTATACACAAGGTTGTCAAAAATGCGAGGTTGTCCAATTTGTTTACCAATGATATTAAACTTGAAAAATTAGTTGTGTCTAAGATAGTCAAAGATGTAAGGTTACCCAATTCATTTGGTAATAATGTCAAGCTTGAGCAATATGATATATTTAAAGTAGTCAAAGTTGTGAAGTTACCTATATCATTTGGCAATAATATCAAGCTTGGGTAGTATGATATATTTAAGGTAGTCAAAGATATGAGGTTGCCCAATTCATTTGGCAATGATGTTGAGCTTGAGCAATATGATATATCTAAGATAGTCAAAGATGTGAGGTTGCCAAATTCATTTGGCAATGATATCAAGCTTCTGCATCTTCTCATATTCAAGGTAGTCAAAGATGTGAGAATGCCTAATTTATTTGGCAATAATGTCAAGCTTGAACAATCACTTATATCTAAGGTAGTCAAAGATGTGAGGTTGTCTAATTCATTTGGCAATGACGTCAATCTTTTGCAATCACTTAAGTCTAAGGTAGTCAAAGCTTTGAGGTTACCCAATTCATTTGGCAATGATGTCAATCTTTTGCAATCACTTAAGTCCAAGGTAATCAAAGATGTAAGGTTGCCCAAATCATTCGGCAATGATGTCAAGCTTGAGCAATCATTTACATATAAAGCAGTCAATGATGTGAGGTTGCCCAATTCATTTGGCAATAATGTCAAGCTTGAGCAATATGATATATCTAAGGTAGTCAAAGATGTGAGGTTGCCCAATTCATTTGGCAATGATGTCAAGCTTAAACAATATGATATGTCTAAGGTAGTCAAAGATGTGAGGTTGCCCAATTCATTTGGCAACGATATCAAGCTATAACAACCTTTCATATTTAGGTTTTCTAAAGAATTCAAACTTTTTATTGACATTGGCAATATTCTTAAGCTCTCACAATCTATCAAATTGAGTTTTTTCAATGATTTCAAATGCTTAATTGTATTTGGTAACATCTCCAAATTTGAACACCCTTCTAAATCAAGTTCTAATAGTGTAGCCATCTCAAAAAATGACTTTGGAAATCTTTTTATAAAAATACAATTCTTTAATTGCAAGACATTCAAAGTCTTAAATCTCTTCCAAACATCTTTGTCATTTAGCATATATCTTGCTTTGTTTAATACATCATCTAAATAAGATCTACCTATTATATTTAATAGAAAATATTTTAAGTTGAGAGATTTCTTTATCAATACAAGAAATATGCCTAATCTTCTTAGGTCATGTCTTGATTTTAGAGCATTATTATAGCTTAACAATCGAAGTACTGGAAAACAAACACTTCCAATTTTATCAAACATATCATTGTTTGATTTGTAGTAATATAATCCCTCCACCTATAAAACAACATAATTCTAATATACAACAAGATTAAAATTTTCACATGAATAATGCACTTCTTATACATACAAAAGATTACAACAATGTAAAGTAAATAAATCAATAAATAACTTTGAATCAACATATACATCAACATACACCTCAATATACATCTCAACAACACAATAACACCTAAACTATATTATTATGCCATATCTCCAAAACCTCAAATGCAAATCTTTATTATTGTTATTAGTTGTATGCTTCCCATATAGATAACTATTAAATACGTTACCTTCTATGAAATTCCATGAAATGTCTCCACATTCATATTCCACATTCGTGTGTCCTTATACTCCATTTCCATTTCAACAATATTTCTACCCATGTCTTGCGGTTGATCATGCATTCTTATAATTCCATATTTGTATACTTTTACCAATGATTGATGCATCAATGTATTTAAAATATATTCTATATCTTCTTCATATATCATTTCTTTATTTCTCGTCCATACTCGTATTGCTCTTTCTTTCAACATGCCTTGCGAACAAACATCATTACAAAAGAAACAACATATGTCCAAAAACATATTCTTTTCTTCAACTTTCAAGTTGTCAAAACTTACTCTTAATATATTCCAAATCTTATGGTCACTATTCTCTTCATCTCTATCCAACTCTCTTCCTCTTTTTAATCTTTGTAAAGCTCGCTCCCAATATCTCAACCTCTTCTTTTCTCTTAAAAATGCACCCATGACTTTCAAGCTTAATGGTAGGCCATTACAAGCTTTTACAATCTTTTTGCCAACTTCAACAAGTTCATGAGGCAACTTGTCTTGGAATCCACAAGAATAAGTGACAAACAACCTTAAACTTGTTTCTTCATCAAGTTCTTCAACATTCACCATACATATTTTGGTATCACAATGCTCCATTATTTTCCAATCTCGAGTTGTCATAATCAATGTGCTACCATTGCTAGCAAATATATCATCCATTGATACAACATCTTCAACTTGTCTTTTATTCTTCACATTGTCAAATACTAAAATGACTTTCTTTTTAGTCAATACTGATTTCAACATTTCTTGAGCATCCTTCAAATCCTTTGGCATTTTTTCACCTTCAAGTTGTTCTAAAATATTGCAACACATTTTGTAACAATCACCACCACTTTCAATGCACTCAACAAAGCATGAGGCATCATACATGTGCTTCACAGAATTCAATGTGGCCTTTGCTATTGTGGTCTTCCCTATTCCACCCATTCCAACAAGACACAATGCCTTCATATTACTTGCACATAGTTCTCTTATTTGTGCTAAGTGTTGTGTTCTACCAAACACTTCTTCTTCAACTTCATCAACCTAAAATGAGACAACAAATCATCCATTAATAGAAATAATATTAAAATAATAAAATATATAAGAAACATATTCCATTCTAATATAGTTTTACAAACTTGTGCTTATATTGAAGTATCTAACCATCACCATAGTATATAAGTATGTGTACAAACAAAACAATCAAATAAATCCACTCAATCTTATGTGTATATACCATGTATTTTGATCTAAAGCTTATCAATGGCAATCTATCAAGTTGTGGTTGTAATTCTATATTTGGATGACTTTTCTCTTTTGATGCACCAAAACAAGGTGCCTTTTTTTGAACTTCTCTAGCTATAAACTTTCTCTTCAACACAATCAATCTTTCACAAATATTCACAAACTTTGGTCGTTGCAAAGGATTCAAGCTCCAACACTCTTTGATAAGCCTAGTCAATTCATCACAATTTGAAGGTAAATTTGGTCTTTCACCATTTTCTATTCTTTCTAATATCTTTTTCATTGTGTTGGCATCATAAAATGGATCTTTTTTAAAGAACATCTTACAACATACCATTACAAATAAATAAACATCTGCTTCAAATGGACATATTGTCATTGTTTGAGATTTGTTCTTCAATACCTCAGGAGCCATGTAATTTGCACTCCCATACACGTGCTTGTTGTTTGTAGCTTTTGGATTACTTCCCACTTCAATCTTTGACATCCCAAAATCTATCACTTTCACAGTAGCATGTTGAACAATTCTATTTGAAATCTTCTTTTCTTTTATATTTAGCAAAATATTGTCAGGCTTCAAACCACGATGCGCAATATGCATGTCATGCAAGTAACACATCCCTCTTGCAATTTGATACATGATATCAATAAGAAAAACATAAGATAATTCTCCATTTTTTTCAATCATTTCACTCAAACTTGTTTGCATCAATTCCATCCCCAAGTATAACTTCCTTGTTTCTTTTGTTTTTAGTTGCCAACATTCTCCACTTTCCTTTGCATTACCTTTCATTGCAAAAAAATACTTAATCAAGTTTGGATGGCTCAAACTTGCTAGAATGCCCACCTCTTTCATAAATAACTTATCATACCCAACATCCATCTTTTTAACTGCACAATCAATTCCTAACCAATTTGACTTGTAAACTTCTCCATAAGCTCCTTCACTTATATGATCTATGATTTTAAGACTTTTTATGTTTGATGATAGTTTCAAAGCATCCAAATTTCCTCCTTCCATGCAATCCAAATCTTTTAACCTTTGTAGTAAATGTTGTGCTAATCCATTTTTTTGAAAATGTTCTTCACTTTCAAGAATTAACCTTTTCAATAAATATTTTTCATCATCTTCCACATCATCACAAGTTGAAACATCAAAAATACCACTCATGTTAACTTCAAATTTGTTAGGATTGTGCTTCACAAGCATTTCACTTGCTACATCACAACAATTCTTCAAATCCCAAAGTACTTCTCTAAACGTTTCTTTGTTCTTCATTTGAAATATAGCTACTTCACACCAATTGTCTTCTCCACAACTCTTTACCAATAAGTAAGCTTTGTTCAATACAATATATAACTCACTTAGTAAAGGCCCATATTCTAATCCATTGCTATTGCCTCCCAATAAGCATTCAAACACCTTCATTACATTTTCGACTTTCTTGTATTGATTTTCACATTGATTTCTATTCAATATGTCTTTTTCCTTCAATAAAACCTCCAATGCTCTAACATACTCTTGACATTCTTTCCATAAATCTCCTCCAATGCCTTGAATATTTGATATTGTGCCAATATCTTGTATACAATCTTCATGTTGTTCCATATTGGCTAGAAATCTTTGCTTTCAAAAACTTGATACAAATATTTGTATCTTTTTTAGACAATCCTTGATTGATTCCAAAAGATATGCTATGAAGAGCCACTTCTTGTTTCAATTTTATCCTGTCACCACACATCCACCAAAGCACATTATATTTATTATGTATTTTAAAATATTTTTTGCATACTTGAACAGAAACAGAGAACTCGCGAACTCGCCACTTCATACTCGAAACCCTTGACCGACGAGACGGACCATTCAGTCACAGGGCAAAGACGATCGCGACTGGAAAACAATTTCAGCATCACTGCTTTACAGCTACGTCGATCACAAAGTGAGGTGATATGAACAGACAGCACGACCCAGACTGAAAATGAAAGGAGACATTGTTGTTTTAAACCTCGATTATCATATGAATGGTCATGGTTTCCACAACCAAACTCAACTCTTAATGTAGACGTCGCACTCGTGCTCACGTTCACCAGTCTGACCTGTCTCACTGCTGAGGAGACTCGAATGAACATTAAAAAAACGTCTATATTTCTAATCAAGCATCCTCTTCAAACTGTCGCAATTAACGATCCAACTACCTTACGAATGAGTAGTCTTTTTCTTATAAGGAGGGGTCTTGGTTATGTCTGAGAGTTTTGATATCCTTTTCTTCCATGCCTTCCTAGTCTATGAAAAATTCCTTACAAATAGCAACACGCACCTTGAATATCATGAAGGACACGACTGTTATTACGATTGTTACTGTTGTTCGTCTTCCCGTATTTCAGAGGAATCTCTTGCACGTTAGAATTCCCTCTTCAACCAAACGATATCAATCGCATCTACACGACGTTACATGATAGGGGTCTGATAGACAAGAAGAGGCTACATCATACTAGACATCCTCCCCGAAAGAACGCTTTAAAAGCCCGTTCCTGAGTTGTCTAAGCACCAAGAAATCCCATCTGTACTTTTGCACTTCCGGACACTCCCATCAAAGCGAGCCTCACCACACATGCATGCTCAAATCCAAAAACTGCAGCCATCGAATACAACTGTAAAATGCATCCAAGCCTCCCGATACAGCACTAACCAGCAACAACCTCACCTCCACAAAGGAATGGGAACTAAAAGCCGAAACGTAAAGAACAGCTTAGATTCATCCGATGACACGTCCGGAGCCAAAAACATAAGCGTATATACGATTGACTTCCTTTTCAAGTCAATCCAACCACCGCGGTTGCTTCAAACGGGCTTCATTCCTCTCTTGTGTACAAGCTTCCATGTCACGACAACTCTACACACACCACAAACCCGTCTTCCTTGATGATGCAAAAAGAGATCCAAAACGCATGAAACAGGATCTCTCAAACCACAACACCCCAGTTCATACTAGTATCCCCTCTCATGCCACGCACCTGGAGTTCTCCTCCGAGCTTCAAACCAAACGCACTCTCAAGCTCAAAGACCAGTCCACAACACACACAACCTCCTCCCAAAGTCAACACCACCGCTCAAAACCCTCTAAACTTCCTCTGCCACACGATACTAAAAATCTACACTGGCAACAACCCCTCAAACCCCTCAAAACCAGCCCATGCGGGCGTCAAACGGGGCCCAAATTGGGCACCTACATCACAACGTGTAAACCAGGGAGCACAGACATCGACTGGCAACAATAGCTACGGCGCTGCCTGAGCCGCAACCTGGCGTAATTTGAGCCCGAAGAAGGCCGGAATGGCTATGGCTGGTTCTGGGTTCCAAGTAAGCAACCAAACCACACTTGCCTGCAACAACTTTGAACGTAGTACTAGTTGCGTAGTACTAGTTGGAATCTAAAATCACAATCCAAAACAAGACGAAGCCTACTCCACAGTGCCACAAACCACTGCCACTGCTACAATCATAACACCGCTGGGGGCTAGGCTAGGGTTTGCCTCACTAGTGTATACCTTCTACATGCGGCAGCAAGGTGCGACCAGCCCACGACGCTAAACAAGGCCACGCTGTTGGGCTCTACGCTGGGGTTGCTGGCGCGTCGAGGCTGATCCCGCGTTGCTTCTTCCCCACCACAAGAAGAAAAGTTCTAACCTAGGATTCATCCCCACCCTTCGAGTTCAATCTGCCTCTGTTGCCCCTGCCCCTTACATATTAAAAAGAAGGAAAAATGTACATGTAAATACATTTATGCATTGGTTTGCACGCCAATTGGGATTTTTGTTGGGTAGCTTATAGGTGGCATGAACACCCATGCTGGAGACATGCACTGTGGGGCCGTTTCTACTGGCCTCCTGATTGTTTGGGGTGAAGGTTTCAATCCCCAGATCCCCTCTTACCCCAACCCACAATGCTGTTTCTCACTTTCTCTTAATATCAGTACTAACGAGAAAGAAAAACAAAGAAGTAGTGGAAGAACCAACAGGAAAAACACTTTCAAAATAAAATAAAATAAGAGATACAGAAAAGAGATTTACTTGATGTCCAGAATTGACTGACACACTCTCATGCAAGGATTTTGTACTTTGCCAAGAAAACTCAGGTTGAAGCTTTTCCACATGTACTATACGAGTGGCTGCTTGTTTACTTCAATGAACATTTCCTAGCTTCAGAACAAGAGAAAATAGGTACAATACAATGGACTGCAATTATTTAGAACTAATACAAAATAATGATATCACACCAAGAAAATTTTGTTTTAAAAACTTGATGGATGATAATAACAAAAAAAAGAAAGAAGGAAAAGTAAAACCATAATGAATGTGCTCAGTGTTCTTCTTTACCTACATGTGAAACCCCTTGATAAAGCTGGAACACCTAAAGCTGGAGAAATATCGGTGAGTTCAGGAGAAAAGTGAAAGAAAATAGAAGAGACGCACCTCTTATTTTTATAAGGACAGAAATGCATCCATCCTGATAAGATTATGACACCTTACCGGCATGAGCATTGCTACAATCAAACTGTGTGTGTGTGTGTGTGTGCAGGTGTCCCCGTTCACAGTATTGTAAAAATCACAATCCCAGCAGGCTTTTCCATTGATTACGCCGGCAACCTATATTGCTAAGGGCGCTGTAGGATAATTAAACTGGCTACTAAAGGCGATTCAATATATACACCTTGCAATCCAAGCAGTGGCTTAGGAGGTTCCTGATCAAATCGACGTACAAAATTCTTGAGCTACCCTATTTCTTTGTTCTTTTTTCTTTGAGATTCCCATGCTGATTTTCTGAAAGAAACTTTTTGTCTTCCTTCCATTGCACTGATTCCCCCTGTCTCAAGCATGCAAACTGTATCCAAATGACAAAATCATACAGCAACATCAGCAGAAATTAGAATTCGGTTTATGGAGAACTAGCCCAGGTTATTTGCTTCTCTAGTCACCTGAAAACTTACTTACTCTTCGATTATGTCCCTAGTTAATGTTACATATACAATTAACAGAATGTACTTTTGAGACATAAAAGCATGTGAAGAAACAACCTTAAAATTGATGATTTGAGCATTTAAGTTTATAAACTTTCTGGGTTCATTATACGCCAATTACACCTCTTCAACAATTTCTATCCTCTTAAAAAAATTCCGACATCATCAGATATAAAGTATCAACTTTGATTTTGCACAAAACTCTAGGTCACATTACGGGCCAAATACAAATGCAATCTAAGGTAAAAAATTCATTTTTCTCATTGAAATTGAAAGAGAACCTGAAACTATAACCTCAATGCCTTGGGACCTAAAGAGTTGGAACCAAACTTTCAAAAATTGTATTTCACTAAATTAAGTAGGAGTTGTTCCGCACCAAAAACAAAGGTTGTTGTGACTAAGAAAGTGTATCATCTCATGGATTTCTTGAGGTATTTGTTATTTTTCTTCTTTTTCCAAGCCTCAACTCTCGACCTTTGCAAGCTTATGTACATCAAGATGCTGATATCAAAAAGAAAAAATCATTTCCTGATGAATCGTTCATCCCCACTGCCGCTGGACCGATTGCAATCAGGCCAGCAGTCATGCGCACATCGCCACGCCTGGGCTGCTCTAAGCAACGGTGATCGGTTTCTGGCATCAAAAGAGTTAGTTGCTCCACACAAGCCGATGGCAACATCCTTAACCAATGAATCCGATCTGACCTCAATTTGGGGGGGGTTGAACTGCTCTCACTAGCATTGAAGTTAGTGTATGAGACGGATCCAAAACTTCGACATCGGATAAAAGTCAACCTATCTTCACAAAATTGAGCCCTGATGATTTTGCTAAACAAAATGGTAGTGTATTGTCGTGAGAGGCTGTTAGCCCTAACCTTAGGACTGGGAATGTGTCGTCGAAGGTCATTCACAGCATTTCCAGGCTTGACGTTTATCAGTTCATCGGGGACTCCCGCGACTTCTGCTACGGAACTTTCCTCATAAAAACCCCAGATTCGAGTTTTCTTTTGAAAAAAATGATGTCATCCTGCTCCCTGCTACGCAGCAGATGAAACCTCCACAAAGAGACGGAAACGAACAACATTAAAAGCAAGAAGTTCAAGAAGTTTCTCCCTATTTTTATTCTTTTAAAAAATGATGAATCATTACTTCGAAACGATTTTCAAGTTCTTGAAGAGCCCATGTGTGCACTCCTCCATCATCACTAAGACCATCCAAGAATCCGAGTTTCACATGTACACAACACAATTCAATCACAAGCTGAGACGCCACCATTGGATGTAGCAATGTAGATCACTTACCTCACAGCCTGAACAACCGCAACAGTAATGAATGTCAATTCAAACACTCTCAGCCTGAGAATAAACCTCCTCAATTTAACTGATTGGTGCCGATGTTGTTCAGGGAATAGTGTCCTGTGATGCAGCCTCGACAACCCTGCTAAGCTCTACATTTCGGATAGATCCGCTCAAAAACAGGATCTCAAGGTGGGGGCAAACCATAGCCTGCAAAAGCAAATTGAATGATGGTCATTTTTTTCTGTGCAATAAAGACTAAAGTTTCCATGCATCACTGAAAACGTTCATTTGAGCCTTCTCAATGTAAAGCAAATTCGGTACACAAGCAAAACGAGAGAGGTATAGTATCTGGCAGTAGTCTAGAATGAGTCGCTCCTAACATCGAAAGTTTGCCAAAATCGCTGACACGCCATCCCCTTAAATAATGAGGATCCAGCCAGATCCAGCTTCCTAGTGGTGCACATTTGGATTCGAACGGTGGTCCAGGCAGCCCAAGTCCAAGAGACTCCCTGCCACTGGAAAGTTAAGCACGGATACCTATTAGTATGTGCATAACAATGCAAATGTGCTTTGACATGAGTAACATAAAGTTGGCCAGTGCTCTGTTCAAGAACAGTTGACACAAAGGTCAAAATTTAAATCAGAACTAAACCAGGAATATCGATAATGCAATTGGAAAAACCATCTCCTCAGTTTCAAGAACCGAATGCAACGCGATAAAAAGCACGAATTGGTTGGGGTGCGGTGTGCATCTAGGTTAGGGTTTGGGATCGTGACCACGAAGACAATGCCAACCGAGCTTAACCACAAAAATTATAACACAATCGACCCATTAAATGTGTTTCTACATAAACGTACAGAGATTTGTGCAACATGCAATGTTAAAAAGTACAGAGATGGGGGAATCTGAAGTTCAATTACTTCTGGAAAAAGGTAAGAGCAGTAAAGCCTACGACAGATTCATGCCAAATAACTAACCCTTACAAAGACAATTCTGGTTCTTCAGTTGAAGCTGCGAAATTGAAGCGGCAAGTCTGGTTACCTGTGCTACGATGCGACTTCGCAAATTTGCTGCGGGTATCTCATCAAATTGTCGAGTTTGCAAACGGAGGCGAAGTGGTGTAGTGCGAACAAGGCCTCAGGAAATTCGGCACGCGCACAGCGTGGACACAACATCAACAGGATTTTTCAGGTAGCCAATATTGAGTCAAGTACAACAGCAGAAAGGTCAGTGTAGCGATTACACTGTTCTCCGACATCTCTTTCTCCATCAAAATCTCGCCTTCGTCCCGCAGATAGCTCCATCGAGCCAACTGAACTCCCCGCAACGCCACCCCAAGCACTGAATCTGTGGCGTATCCACTATTCCCTTGTGAACGCAGAGCCCTGCCACCTCTAACTTCAAAAGGAGGTCTCTCCCTTAGAAAGCAACCTTTCATTCAACGCAGAACCCAATTCAGCGGATACCATAAGACAGGATGATGAACTCTGCAAAGCAGGATTCACAGGACTTGGCAAACAGAGAGGGCACAGGATGGTTGTCCTTCTTTCATATTTTTCATGAGAGGGCGTGGAGAGATGCGTGTTTGGAGAAATGTCTGAATTTGGAGATCAATGTGAGATGGCTACTAGTGCATCAATGAGAGGATGTAATTTGTTGAGAAAATAACTAGAAAGTAGAACTAGTTTTTTCTGAAGAAATGAAAAGAAAGCAACAGTGATGGATTGGAACTGGACAAGTTCCTTGTGAGCCTGTCTCGAGGCCTTGTTCTGAATTCAACTATATAACAAATAGAATTTGCAAATCAACAATTGATACTGATATAATTTGGCAAGGATAAGGGAACGAGAGCTGACGGGAATTTTCTTTTCTTGGTGTTGATCTTCTTGTTGCTATTATGAATCATGGTTGTCTTTGTCAAAAATTTGTTAAGCTAGATAGCACGATCACTTTTTGGATGATTTGTTTATCAAGTTGTTATTTGTTGTAAAAGTAGTTGGTAGTTCATTACATATAGAACACAATTAACAAGTAAATACTGATACAATATTTTTGATGGAATTTTTTGGTAGTGCACTAAGTTTCAAAAAAAACTACATCTATATTAGATGCCTATATTGAATTCATTTCTAATTTTTTATTAGGTCTATTATTTTGATTTCTTGTATATGTGTTAATAAAAAAATATTATAAAAAATTTGTAACCACTAAAGAAACAAAACTAAGATTGTTTGATTTAACTTCAAAAACATAGATATCTATATTTAATTATATATAATTTTTTATGTATTTTAGAATAATTAAAATAATACAAATCAAAAGTCAAATAAAGTATATAAAATCAAAATTTTAAAAAATTAAATACTGGTAATGTTTGAATGATAATTAAATTTTGTCAGAAAGATTCATAGTCGATTTTTTACAAGAATTAGGACTTTAGTTTGTTAATGGTTGTAGATGTTTGCATAATAGGTTATTTGTAACTGCTTTTCTCAATTTGAGATGCATTTGATAGAACTACATTAAGTCTTATTGATGTCTTTTATACATTTTAAAATAAGAGATTTATTTATTTATTTTTGTTGATGTTATCTAATTTGCATGAATGTTTTAAGTATGAAAATATAAATACAACAATATCTAAGAAATAATGAAATGGTAATATTATTATTTTTTATTTTAAGTATAAAATTTCTAATTGATAAAAATAGAAAAATCATTAGTACATAAAAATTAGGAAATTAGTAATTATTTTTACTAGTGATAAAATTATTACTTTATAAATTCTAACAAAAAAAATCAAAGTTCCAACAACATTGCTACATGCCACTCCAATCACAAGAATTTAATAAATTTTAAAATTTCCAACCATGTTTAGTTCTAAGTATTCTTAAATTTAGAAAAAAAAATAATACACAAAAATTATAAAGTATATAAACTACTAATAGAAGAAGAAACAAATTGCATAGGCATTAATAGAATCCTAAATAAATTCTAATTAAACCTTAAAAATCATAATTAAACTTTTATCAAATCCAAAAGGAATTTTAAAGAAATTATAATAGAAACATAAAAAAATCATAAAATAATTCTCTATTAAATCTAAAAACCATAGATAAAAATGAATTGAAAACATAATAAAATATCAAACTCAAAAGAATAATTTTGCAACATAAGTATCTAACTTGCACTTAAATTTCTTTTCCTCCATCTATCCATCATCCATGTATGTTTATAAACATAGATGCCATGTAGCTACTTCAAATTATATGAATAGTCTCAAATAGTGTCATGTTGTAATATAATTATATGGTGAAATAAAAAAATATGGATTTAATTATAGAATAATCTAGTTAAAAGATATAATAGCAAAATATGGATAAAAAAAGAAGAAATTAGTAAAACAATTTAGTATTAATATTTTCTTTTTATAATAAGTCTTCTATTTATTTTATATAGCCATAAATAAGGCATAAAAAGTATATTAAAAACATAGATGAAATAAAAATCTTTAAGAAGGAATTAAGAATAGTTTGTAGCAAAAATTACCTCAAGATACCAAGAATTGATACTTGGAAAAGACTAGTTGTGAATTAGGATCAAAATCAGACCATGAGGCACAAAATTGTGCACCTATGGCAATTCTAAGGTTCTTTGGCTAATTGAAGAGCAAGATATAAGGGCTTACTTCAAGGGATTGTTTAAGCTTTATTTTTAAGTAATTTGGATTCATATTGAGTTTTTGAATGCTTTTTAAAGTAAAATATGTATTTTGAGGTTTCAAATTTTGAAAAATTAAAAGAGGCTTACCTATCAAAGAATTAGTGAGTTTTGTAGCAAACTTACAAATAAAATTATATGAGTTTGTTATTGTGCTTGTCTTGAATATGCTTCATAAATTTGGATTCAATTAAACAATCAAATTGAAAGATATGAAAGTTTTATTAGATTAGAGACTTGGATATATGAATTTTAAGGTCAGTGAGGACTTTTACAATCTTAAGAAATTTGCTTCTTTGATCAAGGCAAAAATTTGTGAGAACATATTAGACTTTAGTATTTACATATTTTTAGAATTGTAAAATAATTAAACAATTCAACAAAAGATTAATTATTGTTGAAAGATCAACATTTAGATTGGAGAAGGAAGTTAGCCAATATCCAAGGATTTTAGAAGCTCTTTGTCTCAATTAGTGAATTAGATTTTTTTAAATAAAATTATGCTTGTTACTTACTTATGGATTGATATATGGGTGAAATTTTAGTTAACATCAATGATTCAATAAATAACTATTGAGATTTTTAAACAACCTACATTTAGCTTAATATCTTGTTGGTATTACTTAAGTAGATTTTACAAGTACACTTTTGTTTGGAAGTATTGTCTTTTAATTTGTACCATTGATAGAAAAAGATTCAAGACTATTGTATAATCATAATGCATTTTGTAGGGCATTTACTACTACATTTAGAAATAGCATCCAAAAAAGAGTTGTAGAGATCAAATTTCAATATTTTTAACAATGCTCAGGTTTTGTTGCCATATGTCTTGCTAAATTTTAACAATTCAAATATGATGTGGATTAGAATGCCAAAACTCTCATTAATCAATTTTAATATAGATTGAAAGATAATGTAAAGGACTTATTATTAATAATTCCAAAAGTTAAACTTTTAGAATAATTTATAATAGAAGCAATTGCATGTGACAATCAACTATTTGAAAGACATTTAGAGCAATGACTTGGTTAGATAGGAGCAAATTGAGCTATGGCACCTACTTCTAGAGTATGTATAATTGTTTATTAAGACTTAAACTTATACAAATTGATACCATTGAATTTAAGCAAATAATTATTATATATATATATATATATATATATAAATCTATGCTTGTATTGTAAAAAATTAGGCCATAAGATATAAGATTATTAGGTAAAATCATATGGATTTAGAATTCAAAGCACAAACTCAAAGATAGAGAGGTTAGGAAACAAAGACGTCTAATTACAGTAGGAACCTTGCACTAGATGATTCTATACTTCAACCATTAAATATAAGTCTTATGATACCATCAAATCTTATACTTTGTTTTAAGTTTTTTATTTGAATTAAAACATAAATGTGTGACTTTTTAGTCAAAATTCTTTAAGATATTGGAGCCTCAACATATTTTATGGACAAATATTTTTTAAAACATCACAATTTGGTACTTGTAAAGAAAAATTGTCCAATATCAATGGAGGCAGTTGATGGTCAATTAGACTCTTTGTATTTAGTAATAATCATTTTAATTCTTCTCTATTTAACAGATATCTCTTCTTCAATGACACATAAAAATATTGTCTTTGAATTTTTTCTAAATTCATATCTTTGACAATTAATGATATTAAAAAATTAAATGCCATAAATTGTGATTAAAATAACTATATCTTATATAAAATATTTAATTTAATTAATAAATTATTTCCAAAATTCAAAATATAAATAACAGTTTTTTTTAATAAATATCTATTACAAATTTATTTTAAAAAATAATAAATCTAATATTTTAAGCTGACTAATTTTTATTAAGAATGATTTATTGAATTTTTTCTCTTCTATTATAATATATAGATACAAAAATTTATTTTAAAAAAAATAAAAATTGGTATTTTAAAATTTTAAAACAAAACAGAATACTTATTTATATATTTCTACAAAAAATTAGTAAATATATTTGATATAAACTAATAATAAATATTCTTAAAATAAAGCAATATTTTTTAATTTTATATTAAAGTCATATATTTATTTTTTACAAAATATATATAATTTATTAATTTTTGTATTAAAATTTTTAAAATTATTTTACATAATTTTAAAAATCTATTAATTAATGTAAAAACCTCTTCATAAAGCATAAAATTTAAACTTAAAAACATTTATTTTTTGACAAAAAACTTAAATTCTAATAAAACTTAAAATATTTTTAATTTTGAATATACATAATCTATTTTATTAAAGCTATTGTATGTCTGTTTCTTACCTTATTGATGATGTTTCTTGATGTTTTAATTGCTTAAAACATTCACATTCTTCTTCTTTTTCTTTTCTTAATTTAATTATGTTTAAATCCAATGGCATTGAATTCACAACTGAATCTGCAATTTGAATCTGACTATCACAAATTTTGCTTTTCGATTGCAAGTTTTAATGGGCAATGAAGTGATTCTTTAAACTCATGATAAAAATAAATGAGTTTAAATAATGTAAATTTTGAAAATAATGAAAAATTTTACAAGCAGTAATAGTATAGATGCCATTGTGGCCTTTGCAAAAGCTAGAACAACATATGGTGAATTCTTGACATATTTCAGCCTTCTTTGCTTGAATTTTGAACTGGCACAAAAGAATAGAGCGAATTCTAATAATGTTTTATAGAAATTTTGCAAGTTGAGAGTTGTTAGAAGATGTTTTACATGAGTAATATTAAAAAGGTTTATATATAAAAAATGATATGTTTGATGTATCCTTGACAAGAGAGAAGATATGATTCTCTTGTTATAACTCAAAGCTTTTAAAAAAGTCATCTTCTTTTTCGTATGAGTAGTTGATTATTTATAGTAAATACTCATTTTTTCAAAGTACCCATGTTTTTGTTGTTTTTCA